AGCTTTGCTGGATACAGTAGTCTATGCTGGTATCTGTCATCTCTTAGTGTTGGTACATCATCTATCTAGTACCTTCTAGCTTTCAGAGTTTCCACGGAGAGGTCAAGTGTAAATCTGATTGGTTTGTAATTATAATGTTAATTGGGTTTTTTCTTTGTTCCTCTTAATATTCTTTCTTTATTCTGTATGTTTGGTGTTTGGATTATTATACGGTGTTTGGATTCTTTATTTGGTGTTGTGTAAGCATTTCATACATTTATTGACATATTTTTCTGTATGTTGGGAAAGTTTTCTTCTATGATTTTAAAAGTTTTTTGCACCTTTGAGGTGGATTTCTTCTCCTTCTTCTATACCCATTATTCTTAGTTTTGACCTTTCACTATGTCCTGTATTTCCTGGATATTTTGTATTAGGGATTTGTTGAACTTAAGATCAATGAATCTATTTCTCCTAGTTTTATATTTTGTTGATTATGCTTGTGTCTGTAGTTCCTGATTGTTTTCCCAGCTTTTCTATTCCCAGCTTTCCCCTCAGAGTGTGTTTTTTTGTACTCTCTCTATTTCAGCTTTCAAGCATTGATCAGTTTGAATTTTTTCCTTCAATTGTTTGGTTGTTTTTTCTGGACTTTCCTTATTTTCTTTAAGATTTTTGTATATTTCTTGATTTTTTTGTTTGTTTTTTTCTTCCATTTCTCAATGGTATCTCATTTCCTCTTTGAGGTTTTCTATCATCTTCATAAAGTTGTTTTTAGGGTTGTTCCCTTCTGCTTCATCTGTGTTGGGATGTTCAGGTCTTGCTGGTGTGGAGTCTGTAGTCTCTGGTGGCATAATATTAATCTTTCTATTGTTGTGTGTGTTCTTATACTTTTGCCATCTGATCTGTTGTTCCAGTTGGTGCCTGTGGGGTCTCTCCCTTTCCTGGTGAGTACAAGTCTAAGATTCCCTTTGGGCAGTTCAAGCAGGTTCAATACTCCAATGGCTCTCCTCTTACCATAGGTGGATGAAAGGCTGGCACTATGACGTTGACAGAAGCTGGATAGCCTTCATTGCCAGGATGGGTTTCCCTGGGTTCAGTCCCTAGGCCTCAGAAGGTTCTCAGCAGGACACTGGAAGGCAAGACAGAAACAGGATTATTTCTACCTCTTCCAGTGGATAGAGACATTCATAATAGGACCACATTGGCAGACTCTGGATGGCCTAGTCCACCATAATGTGTCCCCCAATGTCTTGTCCCCAGGCATCATGAGGCTTCAACATTTTATGAGCACTCTCCATGCTGAATTTAGTAGTGGCTGTAGCAGGTTGCAGTCTCTCCAGCAACATAGACTTTTTGCTTTTTCTGGTCTGTCTTTCTGTCATTTATATTCATTTTCATAATTTTCTTTGAACTTGTTACTCAAATGAAGTGATTTTCATATTATGTTGATTTTTCTATCTCATGGTCAAAAATGGGAAAAATCTAGAAGACACAAAAGATTTTTATAGAAATCAATTATCAACTTCAGAAGACCACAGATTATTGATTGTCCGAAAATTTCCTTACTTCAATTGTATGAATTTACTTAGAAGTGATTGGATCCTGTTTATTAATCTGCTCCTGATTGACATGCTGAGGATGGTGTACCTGAAAGCACCATTGAGGTCTTGTGTGGGTAAAGCTGTTTTTCCCATGGGGTACAGAAATCAGCCATAACTTGTTGTTCTATTGTTCTTCCTCAGCATTTCCAGGTAATTTTCTACGATATTCCAAAGATAGGTAACTTACAATAGCAATTGTTCATCTAAGTAGAAGGTTCAAATTTTAGGTTATGACATGATATTTGGAGATTGTGTGTCTTTTTCTCATTCTCCATTTTTTTTTATTTTGAGGATGAATTGTAATTTCTCTGGGCCTTCATTCACAGTGGTGTCTGAGGAAGTGGGTGATATGTCCTATGAGCTCAAGTCATCAACATCAGACTTCCAAGTTCCAAATTTGTGAGCAAATTAATCTCCATTAATTTTAGAGAGTAGGTTGTAGTTAGTCCACTTCTAATTCCAGACCCAGGAATCTATTGTGCCTGGGTGGAAACTGGATTTGTGGGAAAAGCAGTAACTAAGGATTATTTGTTTTTATCTCTTATACATAAAAGAACATGGGAATTTTGTCCTCTTAATCTCTGTGCCCTCCCAGTTTTTGCACTTGTAAAATCCCAGTCTCTATGTGTTCAAACTGAATGGGCTTCAGTAAATGACATGATCTGATCTAGTAGATGTCACAAGGCAAAGCACAAAGTTTAGCAAAGATTGAGAGAACATGGAAGCTTGTTAGACATGGACTTGCTTAGAGCTATTCATGTGTCATATTTTTGAATTTGGAATTGGGAACATCCTTAATCTGCATACTATTTTGGCGTACATCAGAATAGTGTGTTATCAGTTATAGGATATGAATATCCTTATCCAAAATAATTTAACATTTTTGTACATGAAAACAATGTGTACAAAATTATATAAGTAATTGCAAAATGAAAGTGAAATGCATGTTATTTAAATGTATATATAATATTCAATAATGATCTTGTCTTAATGCTGAAATCTTAATATCAGATAACTACTTTGTGTTGGATATAATGTGCCATGAGCTTCCTTGTAACCACTGGAGTCATAACACACAATTTTGAATTATTGTCTCCATACATATATATTAGACTAGCCTGAACTTGCACCCCAGGATGGCCTCAATTGTATAATTCTCTTGCTTCTGTCTCTCCAGTTCTCAGCTTAGAGTTGTGATTCTCAACTTCTTTGCATGATGTTTTATTCATTTATTTTTTCTGTTTCTTGTATTTTATAAATAATCCTAGGTTTATAATTTAGTTCTTATGTATAATTTGAGACTCCATCAAATCTAAAGTCCAGGCATTTTCTGTGATTATTGTTATTGGTATTGATTTTCAGTCTTTTTAAATTTTTTATTTAAATTGAAAGCAATCTTGGTTCCCTCTGCTTCCTGTTCTCCCATTCTTCCCAGAAACTACACATCTTTCCAACATCCACACCTCAGGGAGTGTGAGGCCTCCCACGGGCGATCATCAAAGTCTGTTACATCAGTGCAACAGGATGTAGGCCCTCCCTCACTTATCTAGGATGAGAGAGTGTCCCTCCATAGGGAATTGGCACCCAAAGCTCATCATGCAATAGGGATAAGTGCGTGTTCCACTGCCAGAGGCCAAGGCCCCCAAACTGGCACCCAAATTCAAGTGGCCTGGTTTGGTCTTATGTTGGTTATCCAGATGTCAAACTGGTGTCTACGACCTCCCACTTGCTCAGGTCAGCTGTTTTTGTGGGTTTTCCCAGCATGGACTTGATATATTCTTACTCAACATATTTTCCCCCTTTGGATGTCAACAATCTCTGAAGCTGTCTGTTGGTCTTCATAAAACTGTTTAAGATGTCTGCGCCTCCTTCTGAGAATATTTTTACCTGTTTTCTCTGTCAACCAGAACATTTTTATAACCATTGTTTAATTTTTAAAAACCATCTTTTCTCATATCACAAAACAATCCCAGTTTCCATTACCTCCCCTCCTCCCATTCTCACGCTTCATTCCCCACTCACTCCTCAGAGATGGCAAGGCTTCCCATGGGGAGTCAATGAAATATGTCATCTCTTTGATCCAGGACCAAGCCCCCCATATCTAGGCCAAGAAAAGTATCTCTCCAAAGAGAATATGCTCTAAAAAGCCAATTCAAGCACTAGGGACAAATTCTGGTCCCGTTGCTAGTGGCTCCACATACTGACAAAGCCTTGCCACTGTCACCTATATCCTGAGTGCCTAGTTTGATCTCCTCCCCCCCAATGTCATTCTGCAGTCACTGAGCTCCCACTAGCTCAGGTCAGCTGTTCCTGTGGACATCTGCAATTGGTTTTGACCTCTGGGTCATGTTCTTGCTCCTCCCTCTCTTCAACTGGACTCTGGGAGCTTGGCCTAGTGGATCTCTGTATCTGCTTCCACATATCCCTGGAAGACATTTCTATGATGATGATACAGGAAGTCATCAATCTAATTATAGGGGAAGGCCAGCTCAGGCACACTATCCTCTAATGCTTAGGGTTTTATCTGGGGTTATATATCGAGCTCTCCTTAATCCAGTTTCAATATTATTAATTTGCAAATTATCCTAGAATATGCATTTCTGGGAAAAACACTTTTCACTGTGAATCTACAGTTGTGAGTTCTTGAAGAAATCCAGTTTCTTATATTCCTCTTCCATTTCCCCAAAATTTGATCCCTCTTTCAGTTCCTGAAGTTGTGGGGAGGATACTTGTAGTTCCTGATGGGTTTACATTTGCTTTGAGATGAAAGCTTCTCTGATCCAGGTATTAAATTAATTAAATTTAATTAAATTTAATCCAAGGATTAAATTCCCCAGGATCTTTTCAGATCTTATTTTGGGATTCTCTTTGTTTCCCTGTCCAATATTTATCCTGGAATGTGGACACCAATTGTCTGAGGAAATATCCCCTTTCTTCAGTATAAGATAGCTTTGGAGATGGGAGAAAATGAACAAATTTTGACCAAGTTTCTCTTTCTCTGTCTCTCTCTCCTCTCCTCTCCTCTTCTCTTTCTGTTCCTTTCTCATCTCTGTCTCTGTTTTTCCTCTCCCCAATATTTATTTCTTTTATTGATTTTTTCATCCTTTTTGTTGCTGTGGTTTATTTAAGCATAACTTAGCTTTTTCTTGGGACTATCAACTGTGATAACTATTCTAAGTTTTCTGCAATTGTCAACTAATTTAACTATGTCATGGATTTTAAGCAAAGCTGTTGCTAGAGCATATAGTAGATCTGTTGGGGAGCTGTAAGCTAACATCTTTCAATGATTCTTCATGCTCTCTGTGATGGTGTATTTGTCTGCTTATTGAACCAGCCACTATACCACAACTACGTAGGGTCTCCTTTTGTATTTGCTAACTGTTTTGCATGGGGCCCTCTAGCCTAATCCAGCTGTTCAGAACTTATAAACCAGACATTTGCAGTGAAGACAGAGCATCACACAGGCAGGGGGAGCAAGATGGAGTCACAGACCCAGGTCCTCATGTTCCTGCTCCTCTGGATGTCTGGTGAGAAATTTAAAACCATTATATTCTTCTCAGAGTCAATGTGAGCCAGGGTGTGTTATTGTATATATAATAATACTCAGGCAATATATCATTGCACTGCTATTAAATGACGAATTTCATATGTTTGAGGTCAGTTTATTGTTCTTATACATGATCACTGCAATACCTGATTACAGGTGCCTGTGGAGATATTGTGTTGACCCAGTCTCCATCTTCCCTGGCTGCATCAGTAGGAGAAAAGATCACCATCAGCTGCAGGTCCAGTCAGAGTCTCTTTTACGATGCAAACAATAAGCACCTCTTGGCCTGGTACCAGCAGAAACCAGGGCAATCTCCTAAACTGCTGATCTACTATGCATCCACTCAGTTCACTGGGGTCCCTGATCGCTTCATAGGCAGTGGATCTGGGACAGATTTCACTCTCACCATCAACAGTGTCCAGGCAGATGATCTGGCAGATTATTACTGTCAGCAGGATTTCATCCCTATTCCCACAGTGCTTCAGCCTCCAACAAAAACGTCCTCTGAGAGTCTCACCAGCTGCTTGCACCACACACAGCCCTTCACCTTACACTTCTCATTTTTGCAGGAAGCACTGATGAAAGCATATGTAGAGTCAAGCAAATTACAATGGGTTCAGTTTCTCTTATGTCTTTTGCTATGAAAATCCTTTATACAAAAAATACAAAAGAGGGCTCACTATTATTTTTCTACTTCTTATGTAACACAGTATACCAAATTCTAATGCATGCATATGAGTGATTTTCTTTTTATAGTTCTAGAGCTGAATTGATGATAATGGCAGGTTTATTTTCATTTTGAAGTACTAGGAAAGTGTGGTTCCTATTTTTCTAGGTTATGGAGTACTTTCTTACTCTTTTACTGGTGCCCATATCTTCTGGTATTTTATTTCCATAAATTCTTTCAGCTTTTACGACATTTTAGCTAATAAATTAGCTTCAGCTGTGTGCATTCTTCTGGGTGTACATGTGACATGGCATAGTTGTCCAAGTCGATGACACTTGATATTGATTGCCTCTTTGTTATTTGTGTTGTGGGAATCCAGCTCTTGTTTGATTTCAGGTCAGTGGCAAGTGGCTTTGTTATCTGATCCATCTTGCTGCTCCATAAGATGTTTTATCAATGTATATTCACTGTACTCAATTTTCTTGAAGGCAATGTTTTTCTAGTGCATAATATGTTTTGACCATATACACAAATGTTACATATTTCTACTTCCCTTTCTGTCTTTCTTTCATCCCCTAGTCCCTCTTTCATTTTTCTCTCTTTGTCTCTTTTATACATACACACACATTCACACATACATATGGACATATAAATACATACACACATAGATACAGGCACATCCACATATATCCACATAAATATATACATAAACTCATATTGAAACTCACACCTACATACATATATACACATATACAACTGAACTTTACATACCTAGAATCCACATATGTAGGATCCACAAAGGAAGGGAAAATATGATATTTCTTTCCCCTGTTCCTGGGTCCACATTTACCTCTGAAGTCTCCATATCTCATTTCCAGTGATGTACACTGAGAAACTTCCCTTCACTCCAACACTAGCTATAATTATGTGTCAGCAGATGCTGCTTTCCAGTTTTGCATTTCATATCAGTGAATAATATTTAGTGTTTTGAGAGGGGGATATTTTGTCCTCCTAAATAAAAAGTGTGGTAACTAATCATGTCCATATTCTGATGAAGAATCATATTGAACACCTACCTTGGAGATATGCTGGGGAGCAAGTGTATTACAGAGAACATAGAATTTCAGGGGAGCTTCAAATATCCTGAATCTGAGTGGTTCTCTGGGCAGTGAATCCTGGAGTATAGGTTGCCAAGTTTAGAAATGCTTCAAATAAATCAAAAGATGTACTTAAACCAACAGATAATTAATTATAACACAGAAGTACAAGATAATGAAACATCTAATAAAATTATGGGAAAAGCTGAAATCAGAGAAGAAACAAGCCATGGTACACCTTAGCTCCTTAGTGTTTCAGCAGAGAAGAGTGTGATTTCCTATTTCTCCTTGCTTATACCCTATTTCTGCCCAGCAAGCTCACTTCCTGTCTGTTTGTACAGACCTTCAGACCTCTGCAGTTAGTTAGTTGCAAGCTGCATTCTCTGGTGTTTAAATAGGCTTTATTTGTACAAACAAGATATCACCACAGAATGATATAAACAAAGGGCACTATTTAAAGTCAGCATATGAAAATCAGTAGATTTTCTTCTGTAATAGTAATAAAATTTCTATGAAAGGAGTCACAACTTCCAAACAAACTGCCTAGCAATCAGTATAAGCAAGGTATTTAAAGATGCTCACAATAAAATCTTTGGGACTTAAAATAATGTAGTTGAGGAAGTTAAAGGCTGGAAAGTTACTCCATGGTCACTGAGAGAGAAAACCAGGCAGACTGTGGTATCAGTGAGATAAAAAATGAAATCCACATGAATATCTCAGGGACATTGTTTACAGAGTTGGAAAAGAAATGTAGAAAATAATCCTACTACAATCCACTGAAATAAGTTTCCAGTTGTCCCATAACGTTAATATCTTTTTTTTTTAGAGACAGGGTTTTTCTGTATTGTTTTGGAGGCTGTCATGGAACTCACTCTGTAGACCAGGCTGGCCTTGTACACACAGAGATCAGCCTGTCTCTGCCTCCTGAGTACTGGGATTAAAGGCATGCACCACCAATGCCCAGCATGTTAGCATCTTTTGCTTTGAATCTCATTAAAGGGTGAAATCCTGTGTGTGTATCATTGTTTCAATCACTAGAAGAAAAGGAAATAACGAGGTTAACAGTGGCTTAGTTTTGAGGGTTCTACTCCATGGGAGGAAATCCCTGTGTGAGTCTGTGGTGAAATAGCACATCAGAACAGGAGTGTATGGAGCAAAGATGAGCAATTGTGGAGACAAAAGAGGAGGAGATAACAGACACAAGTATGCCACATAGCATAGGGTTACTGTCTTCAAGCATTTCCTGTGGCCCTGTGTTCAAACATGTTTCTACATCAAACAAAACAACAGCCTGGAGCCCAAGGCTTTACTCCGTGGGCTTCTAAGGAAAGTCAAAGTGCTATATAGTTCAGTCTCTGATTGGGGAACACTAAGATTCACTCAGTCCCTTCAAATTTAATAATACTATGTGAAAATGCCAGCTTCTCAGACATTTATATATGTAAAATACCTGGAAATGTAATGTGTAACTTTCTCTCATATTGTACCTCCAGTTCACATGTCATAGAGATGGGAATGCTGATTATGAATAGGTCTTACTTCACAGCTAACCTGAGATTTTTCTTAAAAGCTGTATTACTGTGGACTGGATGGTACAGTGAGTGTCCAGAGAGACACTAAGCCCAGCATGACTATCTGCTCTGTGTTTCATAGTAAGCATATTGCCAGTATGTCTGTCACTCTGTACACAGAGCAAGCTGGGACTCCTAAGCTCGATGCTGATTAGCAGGAACACTGAGGTAGTTTTACTGGTTACATGGAAAAATGATCCTTCTTTTGTGAATGCTTCATGAGTAATCAGCATTGACTTTTGGAGTGAGAAGATGGAGAGATCTGCCTTAGCCTGAGTGATGCTCACTTACTCTAAACTTAGTTCTCCAGCCTCTTTCCAAACCACATGTCCAAAGCTCACTGCCTTTTCTGCTCCTGATGGCATTTAGATTAAAGCCTATGAGTGGAGCTAACATCTTCTCATCTGATCCAAAACCTTCTTTTTTCTCAATCTTTTTTTTTTTGGCTTTTCGAGAAAGGGTTTCTCTGTGGCTTTTGGGGGCTGTCCTAGACCTAGCTCTTTTAGAGCAGGATGGTCTCGAACTCACAGAGATCCACCTGCCTATGCATCCTAAGTGCTGGGATTAAAGGCATGGGCCACCACCGGTTGCCTTTTCTCAATATTATTAAAGCCAATTATTTTCACTTGTTGAGAGAATCCCAATGGAAGTTTGTTGTCATTATAAGACAGAAATATTAGTATAGGCAAGCCAGATGGATAAGATCACTTCCTTGTCTTCCAAGGAACATAGGTTCAGTTGCCAGCATCTGCAGGGCAGTTCACAGTCTTCTGTCACAATAGTTCCAGGTGACCTAATGACATCTTCTGGAATCCAAGGGCAAGAACCACAAATGTGGTACATGCAGATAAGACACATATACACAGAGAATAAATATAAGGACATCTATTTAAAGATTGAATTTTTTGATCACATTGCTTCTGCCACTTAAACATTTACAGCAGAGCAGTGACAAAGTACTCCCCACATGGGACCTCACAGTAACAGAATGTAACAACTCCACAGAGTCAGCCACGAAATCACTTGAGATATAATAAAATAGTAAAGGAACTTCTTTGCTAATCCTAACTGGCATAGGATGACACAAGATCAGGTGTCCTTTGAGGACCAAGTCAAGCACTTCTGAGATGATTTGCATATGGACACTTTAGCCAGAGGGAAGATTCTTCAAATCATCTTTAAAGACAGATTGCAGGGCCCATGAATCATTTGAGGCTGGCCTGCTGTTCAAGTTCTAGGCTAGTTTAATCTAAGCATGGAGACAATAATTCAAAATTGTAAATTATGGATCAAGAATATACAAGAAAGCTCATGGCATGTGATATCCAAAGCAAAGTGATTTCCTGATGGCAAGGTTTTAGAATTTAGCTAAGATAAATATTGATTGTTATATATGCATTTAAGTAATATGCATTTCCCTTTTATTTTGCAATTACTTATATAATTTTGTACACCTACTTTTCATGTACAAAATGTTAAATTATTTCTGATAATAATATTCATATCTCCTCTGTAAACTTCTAACATACCATTCTGATGGAGAGAATAACTGTGTAGATTAAGGAAGCTCCCAATCCTAAATTCAAGAATAGGACACATGAGTAACTCTAAACAAGTCAGTGTCCAATAAACTGTCATGTGCTCTCAATCTTTGCTAAATTTTGTACTTTGGTTTGTGACAGCTACAATGAGATAAGATCATATAATTTATTGACGCTCATTCAGTTTTGACACATGGTGACTGGAATCTTACAAATACAAAGGCTGGCTGGGCAATGGTGGTGCATGCTTTTAATCCCAGCACTCGGGAGGCAGAGGCAGGTGGATCTCTGTGAGTTCGAGGCCAGGCTAGACCTTCAGCCTCCAAAACAATATAGAGAAATCCTGTCTCGTAAAACCAAAAAAAAAAAAATACAAAGGCTGCCTTTACTCTCTATGTAAAGGAGAGTAAGGAGACTAAGAGGACAAAATCCCCATGTTCTTTTATGTATAATAGACAAAAAACAGATAATCCTTAGTTACTGCTTTTCCCACAAATCCAGTTTCCACCCAGGTGCATTAGATTCCTTGGTCTGGGATTAAAAGTCAACTAACTGCAAATGGACAGGATGAATATAATGGAGATTAATTTGCTCACAGATATGGAACTAGGAGGTCTGATGTTGATGACGTTGAGGACATAAGACACAGCACCCATTTCCTTGGATACCACTGTGAATGTAGGCCCAGGGAAGTCATAATTCATCCTCAAAATCAACAAAATGGAGGCTGAGAATTTTGTCACTCATTATGGTGTAAAAGACACACAA